TTGGACTTGGTACCCCCAAAACTGGGCACCAAACTCTGAGTTCTAATGTGAATCACTTGTAGAGATCAAGTGTATAGTGTGGTCACCACCGTTAACACTACTGCATTTTTAAATTTAAAATTTGCCAGGAAAGTAGATCGTAAGTGTCCTCACCACCTTCCAAGACACACGACTGGGACTCTCCGGACGCTTGTGTTAATGTGATTATGGAAATCACAGCGTTTCTGAACTCATCAGGCTATATGCATTGAATAAATACAGTTTTTATTTGTCAATTATACCTCCATCAAGCTGGAAAAATATTTTTAAAAACAATAAAAATTAAAACGAAAGTTATTTGTTAATGCCAATGTGTCTGACTTTAAAATTCCAATATATATCTTGTTCTAATGCAAGAACATTTAAATCAGAGTTAGCAAAGCACTGATATATAAAATATTTGCATTATATTTTGTGTTCTTCTAAGATGTGTTTAAATTGCAATAGATTCAAATAAATTCAAATTTATGGCTGCTTCTTTAAATCTTGGTCATTAAAATTGTAAGCTGATTTTTGGACAACTGATAGAAAGATCATATTTGACATCTACACAGGGATATTTTCAAAGTAAAGGGATGCTGTTGATAGTTAATAGCTGCACTAGAACAGCAGACAAACCCTGGAAATTTCCCAAGCTAACCAGGACCCATGCCCATTGCCCTATAGTTTTAAAACTTCTAAAGTTAACATCTATGCTTATAAAGTATATAGTAGTAATCTGTTGCTAGTATAAAGTTAACATATATTTATATAACATATATACTTAACTGAAAGCACAAAGGATTTTTTTATTTTGTGTGATTTTAAAGTGAAAACAGAAGTCAGTTTTACTCAAATTCAGTTTTCTTGATTTGTTTATTTTAAGCATTCCAGTAACATGTTCTTCACAGTAGAGTTTTGTTACAACAAAGTGTACTCTGTAATAACTTCATTACCTAAAATAGACAACACCAAATTATTTCATAAAATCCATTTCCATAAAAGCAAGCCAAGAACTGTCAGCGACCTTGGCAGAAGGCTGCTGGTATTTGCTGGGTGCTCGGGCAATCCTACTCCTACAAGGCTCCCTGCTTGATTCCAGGGCCTGGCGAGAACCCGGGCAAACCATTTACCTGTGTCCCCTCCATCCGGTAACACTCAGCACACCAGTCTCCCCGCCTTGGAGGAGTTACCTGTCTTCTCATCTACGTCACCCAGCTTAATCAACGTACCAACTGAACGGCCATTGTAGTCCCTCAACTAAAATCTCTCATTAGAGGAAATCAGAATCCTCGAAAGGAACCAACTTACGCAAAGTTTCTTTCTCTCTCCTGCAAATTTAAATCATCTCCAGGTGATTTAGAATACCTAATACAGTGTAAATGCTATGGAAATAGTTATTATGCAGTATTGTTTAGGAATAATTCAAGAAAAAAAATGTGTACTTTTTTGTGTGCAGTCGTCATCAATCTGAAGACACAGAAAATTCAAATTTTGCTTTATGGAACTTTCTAGAATTCTTTGTTTTAAACTTTTTCTTTTGAGACAGGGTCTCATTGCATAGTTCAGGCTGGCCCTGAATTCACATGAGGCCCAGATTGGACTCCAACTTGCAATGACCCTCCTGTCTCAGCTCCTGAGTGCTGGGATTACAGGTATGTACCATCTCGCCCAGCTGCATTTCTTGAGACAGGATCTCACTAAGTCACTAAGTTGCCCAGGCTGGGCTCTTAATTGTGATCCTCCTGCCTCAGCCTCCCAAAGTGTTGGAATCACCGGTGTGCATTATCATGCCTGGCTTTTGTTTTTGTTTTTACTATTTTGATACAATGATTCAGAATCTGTAGATATGGACGTCTGACTGTATACACACACACACACACACACACACACACACACAAATTGTATGTGGATGGACAGAATTTGTTTTAAGGAATCAGCTCACTTGATCACCCAGAGGCAGGCTGAAAGCAGAGAGCTCTTTCTGCCTGAGGGACCTTCAGTCTCTTCTCTCACTGCCTTCAGTGGAGTGAATGAGGCCCCCACATTGTGGAGAGTGATCCACTCACATCTGCTGATGTAAATGTTAATCTCATCCAGAAATAACTTCCTTGCAACATCAAAACTACTGTTTGACCAAGCATCTGGGTACCCAAGCTGACCAAGTCAGCTCACAGAATTAACCATTCCACCTTAGCAGAGAATTTGGGCCTCAGTCTGAAAGCTTTGCTTTGGGGACGCTGAGGGGCTACTTCCAGCCCAGAGTAGCCCGGGCCCACTCCAGGGGGCAGCTCCACCTTTTTTCAGTCCTAGAAGAAGGCTCAGCAGGAATTGGTCTCCAGGACTTCAGAGCCAGGTGGAGCGAACCCCGCCTGCCCTGGATGTGGCAGCCTCCGCTCTCTCCGCCAGGACTCCCAACCCCCACCTCGACTTGCAACTCCAGAAGGACGCGTCGTTTCACTTCCTGTCTGGGACCTGCTACAGTTCGAGTGTATCCCCAAACCCAAGAAACTTGCCAGCGCAGCAGTGCTGAGAGGGGACCTCTGGAAAGTGACCGGGTCTTCAGAACACACTCTTGAGAAGATTTCATCGGTCAGCCACAGTGGCTGTGTCAGCAACGCCAGCGCTTGAGCTTAGAGGGCAGCTCGTGACTCAGCTGTGCTTAGTGTGCACAGGCCCCGGGTTCCATCCCAGCACCAAAAAAGAAAAGGAAAAATTATCTAGAGATGCTCGCTCTCTTCAGCCTGTTTGCTCTTTCACCATGAGATGCCCTCCCGCGAGTGGGGAAACCATCCCCGAAGCCAAGGGGGCCCTGGACTTCCTGGCCTCCAGAACTGTGAGTTCACTAAACCCCTATCCTTTATGAGTTACCTACTCTTGGTTATTTTGTTTGTTTGTTTTGTTTTTGGTACCAGGGATGGAACTCAGGTCCTTGCGCTTGCCAGGCAGGTGCTGGAACCACTGAGCTAAATCCCTGGCCCTGGTCTTGGTTATTTTGTTAGAGCAACAGAAAACTAAGCCAGAACATGACAGCCAGGTCGGGGCACATACAAATGTAATCTCTGAGGGAAGAGAATCAACTTTTCTCCTGAGCGCATCCCTGCATTCCCCGCCTCCTCCCAGCACAGAGCCAGTCCCAAATAATGCACAAGAGCCATGCCAAGGGACAACTCTCTGAAAAGTGCTTTATTTTGGTAAGATCTAAGTCAGGTGCATTAAAATGTATCAAAATGTTACAAAAATGTGTGGCTCTCTACTGAGGCCTTGTCAAATAATGTTAAGATGCATCCACTTATCAGTTCAGAGCCAAACACTGAACCAGGTCCAGTACCATTGCTGAAAGGCAAGTTGTGTTAGGAAAGGAACATAGACGGAATGAAAACAAGCAGGAAGACTCTTAAACACGAGCAACAACACACTGGAAACCATCCTCCTGGAAGCAAGACTGCAACCTGAGGGGGAAACTAAAGCTTCTCCGTCACGATTTGTACATCTCTGTGCTCCCTTAAGATGTGGTGGGCACTCTGAGGTCCCATGGCTCGAAGATGTACCGCATTCGGGAGTCTGACCTCTGTAGGAGATCGTGTCTCATCTGAGTCCAGCAGGACTTTGTGAAAAACAACGTAAGTAGAAACCAGGAAATGCAGGCTGCGGTAGCCAGGGGACTCAGAGCAGTCTCCTCATTACCCAGGTTGCATTCTGTCTTGATGGAGCACTGAAATTCCCTCAATCACACAGAAACGTCGGGTTATCTTTGACATCAAGTTCTGTTACAGAACTCTGAAATAAAATGTTTTTTCTGGTTGTTTTTGTTGTTTATAAAGGGACCTAATCTTGATGTGGTGGCACACACCTGTAATCACAGCACTCTGGGAGGCTGAGGCAGGAGGATCACAAATCCATAACCAGATAGGGCAATTCAGCCATTTAGCAAGACCCTGTCTCAAAATAAAAAAAAAATAAAAGGGATGGGAATGTAGCTCATTCTGAAGGTCTTGGGTTCAGACCTCAGTACCAAAAAATAAGTAAATAAAAGGACTTCTCTTTTCCTGAGAACTCCTTGCCCCACCACCGCCGCCCTTTTTTTTTGGCTGTTTCTTCTTCCAGGCACAGAAACAACCCCTATTTCCACAGAAAACAATTCTTGCCAAGATGTTTTTGCTGGGAGAACGGATTTAGGGGTCATTATGTTACAGATATGACGATAAGATGTCTTTCTCTGGCTTCTAGGAGAGAATATTGTTTGCCTTTTGTTAGGGAGGAAAGAAAGGTGCAAATATTTCTCCTGGAAGCATCAGCATGCTGCAGACCAAAGCCTTGACCTTAGGCCTCTGTACGTCTCTTGGGGACGGGTGGCCCTCTCACCACAGCCTCCACGTGAAGCTGAAGTCCACCCAGCCTGGAGACCAGGGCACATGCAAGCTTCTCATTTGTGCTTTGCACTTCCCTCGCAAGCGACAGGCCCTGCCCCCACGTAAGAGAATGAGGCCTCCTGCTACGTCCACCTCCCTGGCCAGAGGACTCAGGATTTTCCTTCACTTGATCACCATGTAATATAAGCCTCCGCAAAAAAAGGAAAGAAAAAGAAAAGCCAGATGCAGCTGCTTCTCACAAGCTGGGGAAACCCTGCATGTTAGCCCTTTGATGTCCACACAGTTTCAGGCTCACTGCACACAACTACACAACCCACAGAAACTGGCTGAGGAATTCAAAGCCACAAGGCCATGTGATACCAGTGGGAAAAGCTGGGCCACACCCAGGGAAGTTTCTGTTTCAGCTGCCGTTATTCCAAAGAAGGTCTCCCAAATCCTGTTTTTGTTTGTGTTGATGCTGAAGATGGAAGCCAAGGATGCATTTGAAGCATGTGCCCCCCCACTGAGCTAGAACCCTCCAGTCAAATTTCCAAAATTCCTCTTTTTGTTCATTTTCCTTTCTTTGAGACAGAGCTTTGATATGTAATCCAGACTGGCCTTGGACTCTCAAAGATCCTCCTGCTTCAGCCTCCTAAGTGCTGGCAAACATAAGCATGCACCACCACACCCAGCCAAATTTCTTCATCAGGATATTAGGGAATGAGAAATGATCTGCACTAGTGAACGTGGAGAGTGTAAAACATTCCCCCTCCCTTTTTTACCCTGAACCCCCGCTTTAGAAACTCAAGGCTACCTTGGTATCACATTCTCAGAGATCTGGCAAATTGGGCATTTTACAACATTTAACACTATTGCATCGCCGGAGTAATTCACAGAGAAATTTTTAAACCAGAAATGGTTTTCTGTATGAGTAAGTGGTTAACAGTTCGCTTTGTGAAAAATCCTCTTCCCGCCAGCCCCACAACCCCACCAAAGAAGTAGTGGGGCAACCAAGGGTCTGAGCATTCCCGGCAAACAGCTAGAGCAGAAACGCTCCGAACCATTTTCTCCAAGCACACCTCAGGGGGTGCGTCTGCACTCACAAAACTGCGCTCTTACATCTGTGAGCAGGGAAGCCCACCGCGCCCCCGTCCTACTCCCCATTCTGGGCATCTTACAGATGCCCAAGGTATGTAACTGACAGAAGGCCCTGGGGCTGGTTGTGTGGTGCCCCGAGGAGGGGCTGGCGGAGTCTCCAGGGGGAGCGGCCATCGCGCTGAGAGTGTGGTAAGACTCAGCTGTGTGGCCGTTTTGGAATCTGGGGGTAAAGGTGGGAGCGTGGGAATGGTTCTGACACCAAGGCCCACTGTGTCCTTTGGAGGCCCTGGCTAGTGGTTCTCCTTCCCCCAGCTGCCCAGGCTCCACGCCTTCCCTGGGAGTAGGTGGACAGAGGCACAGCACCCCTACCCCAGGCAGGCTCAGAGCTGTTAGGAGCTCCTGGTCTTGCTCAGTTGATCTCCACAGTCCAGCACCCAGCCCCAAACAGGCCGGCGCCCAGCTGCCCACCCAATGAGGGATCTGGGGACTGACGTTCCGCCCTTCCCTTGCTGGCTCTAATGATCAGCAGCTGCTCACAGAAGCGGGCCAAGCTCCATCCTCCTGTTGTCCCCACAGACAGTCCAAAGAGCTTCCCTGAGTCCCACACTCGGTGCTCTGCTGGATGAGTCCTCCTGCCTGGGGCTATGTCCACACTCAGGGTGAGAGAATTTGCAAGAAGCCAGAGGATGCAGAGAAAAAAGCTCAAACTGCAGCTCAGATCCAGGCACAGGAAGAGGAGCTTTGCAAAGACAGCTGGGCTGGCAGGTGCCTGTCTCTGCAGGTGGCCTCTGCCCTTCCTTCCGCCCTACGGAGGGGGCTTGGAAACCTCCTAGCCATCTTCTCAGAACAAGCCAGGCCCCAGGGAGCATCATGGGCACCCAGTGAGGCCTCTGCCTGGTGGGACTTTCCTCCATCCCAAGGAAGCACCAGAGACCCAGGTGGGAGAATCATGAGGACTCCCCGACTCCACCAGGTGGAATTCATCCTTCTACGGCAGCCACACGGACTGGCACGTTCATCTTTGTTCTTTAAAACAAGCAAAGTTTCCATTGTAAAAACTTGCCGACTCACTGCATCTACTCATGACGATTTATCTGTTTCTCTCCATCAGACAAGGATATGGGGCTGTTAGTTTTTTAGTTTCCAAGGATCTAACATTCACTGATCTTTCCAGGCACACAGAGAATCTCTACCAACACAAATGCCCCTTCTATACTTGGGCAGATTTGTGTGGCTGCCCCTTCGCTCTGAAGAGAAAAAAATCTTTTCTTTAGCCTTAAGTCCTCTTCTGACTCTCCTGCTAGTGGCACACGTCTGCCAGCCTCGTGACGCTGGAGTGAAGTGCACGCGGAAACATCAGGGAGGCACAGGCGAGTGTCCTGTACACCCAGGTGTACGTACAGGTACAAGTCTGGGGCCCTCCTTGTAGCTAAAATCAAAAGCCCTTGCAAGTAAAAGAGAGGAGAGCAGGGGTCAGGGATAGGGAGTTGTTCCCTGCCTTCTCATCCTGTTCCCGGAAGCAAAGGAAGGCTTGTGGTTTGCACATTAGCATTTGGCCAAGGGTGGGGAGCGCCCAGCTTCCTGCGGGTCTTCTCAGGTCAGTGGCAGCCCCCGGGGCACCCGGATCCCCCACTCCTGCAGCTCAGATTGTTGCCGGAGTCTCAGCTATCTCCTCCAGCCTTTGCCGAATCATTAGCCGGAGTACGGTGTACCTGGGGACAAGAGACAGCCTGTAGAGGTAGAGGGCAGGGGCCAAGACTCGTCCTCACGACGGTCTCCCAACCCCACCAGGGGGCACCAGCTAACATCAGGTGGCACTGGGTGACAGTGACCGACCCAGCCGCCACTCTGCTGTGTTCACTTCCACACCGGGATGAGAGGAATAAACTGGCCAAGGACAATTTAAACGATTTTACTACGGTCAGGAAGTCTGGAGAAACGAGGAAAACGTGAGAAGAAGAGAATCAATAAGGGCTCCATTAACTGAGTGCTCACTGTGCCCAAGGCTCTGTGCACAATACCTGACAGTGCATGGTAGCTCATGAGCCCTCACCTAGGCCAGGACACAGGAAATGCGTCCCTTTGGGGGCTACCGATATGGCAACTTCACGAAGTTCAACCTACAGCAGTATCTACACTTTGCACAAGACCCTGGCAACAGACACGGGCCCACGGCAGTAGGGAGATCGGTTTCCCCACCATGTCCCTGAAAGTGAGTGGTCATCATCGCGCAAGGCGAAGGGAGACACATCCTTAATGTTTGCCTTTGCAGTACGCGGCAAAAGCCATATTTAAAGTCCAGCTCAGAGTAAGTGTTTAATAAATATTAACTGCTATCATGCTAATTATTGTCATGCAGAACAGTAAATACAGCCTTCTTTTCAGTGGCAAAAATCAACCACCTGTCCTACAATATCTATGAAATGCAGTCTGTCGTGTAACTAAACGTGGCACAGGAATCAGAAAAGCCTCCCCAGAGAGAAGCTTCACTAGCCCTTTCAACCTAAATAAAATTTCCGGGAAAGCAATGTTGGAACAGGGAAGAGGTGGGCAGAAGGGCCATGGGGCTGGGTGGCTTGGGCTCTTCTGCCTCGCTCAGGCACAGGCGACAGCACTGTCCCCTGAGGTGACCCCAGATGAAATCACCTCCCCACTTCTGAATCTAGACTTAAGAATTTTAAGCTAATGCCTTCTTTTTAAAGTCCTTCCATAAAAGGGGTGGGGGCCACATTGTGATGTCCCATATCAAAATAAGGCAATGACACAAGAAGCAGAGAGGCCAGCACACTTAAAGCCCACGTCCCCACCCAAGACTCAGACTGTCCTTCCGGAAAGGCCACAGAGACCCTAACCCTGCAACAACCTGGAAGCCCCTACAGGCCGGGGGACAGAGGCCGCACTCCCAGAGGCCTGGAGAAACCAGCCAGCACCCAGAGCCTCGCTTACTTCCTCATCAGCTTCTTCACCTCCCGATCTTCCTCCTCCTGGAGCTTCTGGATGAAGCTTCTGAGGACCGGCATCTCAAACTTGATGTACTGCGCCACCTGGGGGGAGGGAGACCTGGGTGTGAGCCACTTCCAGGAGCCCTCAGTCTCCTGCAAGGCACAGAGCCTGGAGGGCCTACTTCTCCCCTAACCCAGCACATCCTCTAAGGCCAGAGCTTAGCCTCCTCCTTCTCAAAGCCAGCACAGCCTCTACAATGAGGGCGTGGACGCAGGGGCACACAACTGTAAGCCCAGCACTTGGGAGGCTGAGGCACAAAATTCACCATGCGTTCAAGGCCAGCCTGGGCTACACAGAGAGTTCAAGGGAAACCTGAACTGCACAGCAAAACTTCTCATTTTTCATCTCATTTTATCCAACCCACGATTTTAGTGTTGTGAAACAGAAGAGCACTTTCTTTTTGGTTTTTTTGTTTTGTTTTGTTTTGGGTACTGGGGATTGAACTTGGGACCTTGCACTTTCGAGGCAGGCAGCAGCACCACTGAGCTAAATCCCCAGGCCAAAATCACTTTCTTCTTTTTTTTTTTTTTGGTACCGGGGATTGAACTCGGGGTCTTTGCGCTTGCAAGGCAGGCCACCAAACCACTGAGCTAAATCCCCGGCCCTCAAAATCACTTTATTTTGATACAAGATGTAGAGAAAGAACTGAGCTTACAATATTTAAGGAGGTCCTTGTTCTCCTGCACAGAAACCTGAAGGAGCTGTGATGATGGTTTGCAGCTCTAGTCTCCTCAGATAGGCATCCAAATGAGCACTTGCTTTGGGGAAGCAGATGAGCCCCAGGGAAGTTATAGTTAAGCAAGGGCTTCCCCTCGCCCACCGGAACCCCTGCCTGCTCCGCAGTTTCCTCCGTGGGACCAGCCTATTTCCCCACCCTTTTAATGCTGAACTTGGCTGTGCAGCTTCCTCTGGGCAGTGGGATGAATGCAGAACCCACAGATGCTCAACGGGGGTGGAGGCTGCCCATGTGATTCAATTAGGCCCAGCTGTCAGCCACGAGGAGCAAACTCCAAGTGGCCACTGCCCTTCTGCCTGGACCTCTGAATGAGACACACAGTGCAGACCTGGCCTCAGTACACAGCCTAGAGCAAAGCCAGGATGATCAGGAGCAAAAACAAAACAAAACAAAACAAAAAGCAATGCTGCGCACTGCTACTGAGATTGGGGGTGTTTGTTACTATAGCCAAGAGCTGACTAACACATGAGGTGAGGTAAAATCACCGTTTATCTCTGTCTT